TTATGTGATCCTGAGGAGCTTTCGCGGGATCTCCTATCGGGGACCCGCGGAAGCCGCTAGCCGCGTCCAAGTCGGGGCTGGGACACCGTGGTGTTCCGCCCTTTCTTGGGCCCTCTGGATTGCCTGGATTCGTGACTGGAGCGATGGGCTCCGGAGTGCCTCTTCCCAGTCGGCTTCGCTGGATAGAGGGACGTTAGGTAACGCGGGGCATTGCCAAAGCCGCCTAATTTCTGCAGCCCCGGTAGCACGACGCAGTGCTTGCGGGGAATGGGAGGAAAGTAGATTGGATAGAATAGAAAAAAAAACAGGTTAGGTGAGTAGCGGCGCAGACGGCAGCAAGGATATGGGTTGCAAGGGTACCAGTCTCAGCGGCATTCTTTGTGGAAGGGGAAGAGTGGGATAATAGGAGAGGTGGAGAAAAGGAAAATGACGAGAACGTGTGCATGCACCTCAGCGATTGTGACGTCATGGCTCGTGGGCCGCCGCGGCGGGCTGACAATGCACAGCTTACTGTTCAGGCATACGGGAAATCAACCCTGTCTGTTGGAACGGTCGCATATTCCGAGTGTTTTTCGAAGTTTCGTCGATGTTTCCAATTTTTGTTCAGTATCTCAACAGTTCGCCAGCGGGGACAATTCGCTCTGCTGTAGTTTGGGACAGCTCATCTTGGCATTGTGAAAGGTTACTTCCTCCTCCTTTCACAGTCTTCGCAGCCATTTTGGTGCTTCTCATAAAAAAGCAACATAAAGGGTCGAGCGAGTGCACGTTAAAGAACCCCAGGTGGTCGAAATTTCCGGAGCCCTCCACTACGGCGTCTCTCATAATCATGTGGTGGTTTTGGGACGTTAAACCCCACAAATCATAAAGGGTCGAGTGTACTGTGCGAAGCAGACTAAGGCATTTGGCGTCTGACCCGACGTGCGGCGCAAGATGACTCAGCACACATGGGGCGAACAAGTGATCAACCACAGGCTCCGCCCTCATACGGCGCTTCGGCTTGCACACTCGAAAGACTTTGTTTTAGGCTTATTAAGTGAATACAAACAACTTTGCCTAGGCACGCTTCGTTTTACAAGAGAATCATCAAAGCTTCGTCATCGCGAGCTACACGCTCATAGCCACAGCTCGTCGTCAGTCGCGACTCCGAAGCCCATCTAATCGAACGCCGGCCGTCGCCTATACGCCGTTCGCGATCACTCGCGAGCTCTTCATAGGGCGCTTGCTTTAGCCAACACGATTAAGCTTTGTACTCTTACGTGGTGGGTGCGCGATCAACTTTCTCGGTGTCATCGATGTGAAGAGCTGGGTTGCAAGCGGCCGACTTGCCGGGACGCCGGGTGTCGTGTTTACATGTGCATACTCGCTGTTGTAAAGGCTCTACGTACATTTTTCTTACTCTAGCAGTTTGAAAAGGGACGCTGTCTTGCGCAAATGGCACGCTTCACAAACATCGCTTTATTCAATCTGTAAATATTTCGAGTCAAATTTTATAAAATGCCGCCGCGAACGGCGATATCGGCATGTGCCTGCGAGGCTCGAGTAGCTTGACTTCGTCCCCAAAATTTGAAGACAAAAGATCCCTAGCACTACAATTTGTGGGCGCGCGCTTCACTCCGTTTGAGCAAGCGGTCTGGAGAGTGGGGCGGTAATGGTAGTGGTTGTAAGGAAGAGGAAAAATGCATCTTATTTCTGTCTGCCTTCAGGCGACACGGCGCAGTGCCTTATAGGGGCGGGGGAAGGATGGATAAAAAGAATAGAAGGAAAATAGATGAAGAAATAGACAGGCAAGCGACGGAAAAAAGGAGATGGGAAAGTGGGGATCCGGTCGAAGCAGTCCAAGGGCGGGGCACCACAATGCGAGAGCTGCACGGCGTCAGGAGACCGCGGAGGGCGAACCAGTCGGCGGGAGCTACGCTGGCGTCGGAGATCGCGAGGGCACGACCGTCCAGCTTGAAATTCTGCGAGCGAATCGAGAGTGGCGCGCAGAAAGGAGAGAGTGAACGGCGAAGCACCTACCTACTTTCTCCTACACTGCCTCCACACACGCGGGAGCTCCGCCGAGCTCCCGCGATGCGGACGCCCTCGCATACTCTTGCGTGTTCATCCTCTCAACCCACTCTCTGCTACTCCGCCCGCACCACCTGCTCCGGTTGCTAGGGGCGAGGATAAACGCGCGCACCCGCAGCTGTTGCTATGGGAGAGGAAGCGAGAGCGGAGAGATAACACTTGCCGGCGCTCGGATACCGCCGGACGCCTGGCATAGCCCGACTAAGAAATGCATTCGCATTAAAATATATATATATCTGCCCGGTTTCGGTGCACGCCGGACATGTGATGCGGCGGCCCGATATGACAAATCGTCACCATGCCGGCTGGCGCGTTGTACGTAGCATATGATGTAAAATTAAACCGTCTCTCCTGGCCCGATTTCGCTTTCCCGCAGCATTCATGCACTTAGAACACCCAAGTGAAACATGTAAATGGGAGACATTTCGATTGTTCAGTATGATATTTTGACTGTTTTTCTTGGAGAACTAAACGACGAGATTGCGGCCGCACATGGACCAACGTATGTAAAAGACACCATGCTTACTTTGAAAGCAGATGGGCAGAAGATGTGAGCTGTTTAAAAGAAAAAAATTAAGCCGACAATCATTTTATTTTACCCATGACTTCATGTAGCTCCTTCATTTCTCAATAAATATATGGCAGTATTTCTTTATACCCTGCACTGGAGCTCAATACTGGGTCATGTTTCTCTCGCCATGTTCTTCTATCAATTTCTGCTAAAGAATCATTTCTCCGTTCAACATTTGTTTGGGCAATACCATTTGTAGTGTTTGCTATTTTTTTTACTTATATCTAAGATCTCGGTGCACTTGCAGTGCAAGTAGGGGCTTGCAAATGTAATGCGATTACATCATTTGTAATGGGATAACAAATGATGCTAGAAGCTTTAAAGTGGGGTTGCTGTAGCCCCTGCTACCACTCAAAAATAGGCCGCTACCACTCAAAAAGCTCAATAAAGGCAGTGGCAGATCCAGAAATAGGGCAGCAGGGGCGATCACCCCCATCTCCTAAATTTGTGTCAGCTGCTCCGCCCCTCACTTTAGTGCTTGTAGGCCACCACCGATCGCCAATTAGGACTAATGAGTGAAACCACTGCAAGCACACATTAACAGTACTTTTGCTACGAAAGGCATTTTCTGCTAGTAAAAACAAGTCATGACCATGTCATGCTCTATAGTATTACTTCAGGCAACCCCCCCTCCCCCAACTGAGCGGCTCAATCCGCCCCTGAATAAAGCCAGTGACTGATATTTTTGTGCGAAGACTGATCATGTCGGCAGTCGTGGGACGGACGTTGTAGAAAGTTTCGATGTTTTGTGTATTTTCAGTCAAGATGAGACTCTGACAAAGACACTTTGAGAGCCCTCATATCCTGCACACTGTCCGTGAAGGAAAGGCGCAAGTGAGTAACTGAAAGCAATTTCTATTATTAATACTAAGCTAATCGAAGAACTCTCAAGAGGTTCCAATCTGTGTAGAAGATAGACGTAGCTGAATCAGCATTCTTCTGTTATGTCCCAGTGCAGCTTGACAAATGGTGCAACTTTCTCTTTTTTTCATCTGAAGTAATTGTGTGTCCTTTAAGTAGTGTTAACCATAATGCCTGACCTATGGATAGTTTCTGATGTCCACACTACAGTTTACAGGGTGTTTCAGCTAACTTGTGCCGAGCATACTTGTTATTTAGCGAGTTCTGAATAAAAAAGCTGGAAAAAAGTACCAGGGCAGCTATATGAGTATACATAAAATAATCCCACATTGCTGAAGAAATTTTGCTTCTTGCCCATGCAATATTTTTGTTAATTACTGTTTGAAAGGCTAATTAAGCACCTTTGTTAATTACCAAGATTGTTGTATTGGAAGTTAACTTAGCACATAGGGAGTATTCTGACAATTCAAGACAGGTGCTACAGCTTCTACATTGAATATTTTTCAGAAGACTAAATGGTTAAAGTTCATTCAGAAGTATTGTTAATTATCCAGCTTGGCAGATTGGAAAACTATTGCTACATGCTACGCACAGCTCAGAACTACATTCTGCCAATTATACGCACATAGCACATGTTTGTTTTTGTCATCCTTAGCAAACGTTGCCTAGGACACCCCGTGCTAGTTACATAACTAGAACTATGCATGCAAAGTTGCTGTTTGCGAGTACTGCAGCTGACGTAACCACTGTGACTCCCTCCTATTCAGGGCAATTAAGTTGAGTCCTGGAGCAGCCAAGTCTTGTGTGGCAAAAAAAAAAAAAAAACACAACAGGTTGTGCAAGGAAGGTAACAACAGTCACAAAGTGCAGGGGTGTCACAAGAAGACACGGGACGTATGTACCACAGGATACCTTATTTTTAATACAACGCTGTGCGGCACAGATCTGTTGCTGTTTTTCTGCAGACTGTGGGTGCTGAATTTCAGCGTGGCTTTATCATGTGGTGGTAATGCATTATAACATTACTGGAAAAAGAAAAAAATAAACAGGGGCCTGCCTTATAGATTTAGGGAAGCCATGTTGAGAGCCATGTTGTTTTGCCGAAAGAGGTTTTTCACGTCAGTTCATTGTTGTTCTGCTTGAAAGCTACGACACCTCCTGGAGGTGAGGGTAAGGCAGGCTTGCTCTTTTTTTGCATTGGCCAAATTCTGCATCATCTTAAATGGTGGAGGGAAGGCAGAACAACACGGTCTTGCAAGAAGCCTCTCCTGTTTTGTTTTTTTCTTCTCATGGTTCACTTAACAAATTCAGTGGTGCCATTCATTTACAGTGGCCGAAACTGGTCTTTTCTATTTCTCGTAAGTGCTTGCTGCAATAAGTCTGCGATGTGGGGGGGGGGGGGTGACATGGTGCGCTTTCGCACTAGCGTCATGGTGTAGATAAAATCTAGATATATTGAAATGACTGACCTACGCTTCCATCTGGATTTTCGTAGATTCCATCCACTTTTACCCTTCCGAAAACTCGGTGATGCCTGGCTACATCAAGGACAACCCTGAATTCACCAAGTACTGGTTACAGCGCTACAGGCTGTTCTCCCGCTTTGACCAAGGCATAAAGATGGATGAAGGTAAGCCTTTGAATATTGCTGTCTGTTTTGACCCTTGTTAAAATGCGACTGGGTGTCTGTCTGATCAGCAGCAACTTAACCAGCGGGGTGCGTCTTGAGAGTAGATACGGTCACATCTTACGCAATTAAGCTTCACCATCAGAGTGGCTTAACAAAATAGGTAGTCCATTGTACAGAAGACGCGTGCACACACACACACACAGTGCATGTGTTTCAGCTGACGGGGGCCAAATTACAGTACTTCTCTTCGAAAGTGAAACTAGATACAAAGGTGTGGCAAGCGCAATATTGGTAGTGGTAGGCTTGCTCATGCTGATATCTTTTTTTTATTAGTTTTTGTAAATACTTTCATATAATGCCACAACACCATAAAAACAGCAATGCTAATGACATGTGAACAAACTGAAACATTTGCAAGCAACAAAAAGGTTAGCAAAAGACTGTTAACCATAACAACAAAATAGAAGGCCACAACACTGTAAAAACATACATTTAACCACCCATAAATCAATGTGACAGAACAAAAGGTTGACAGGGACAAAATAAAAGGCTGCTAACTAGAACAAAATAGAAGGCCACGATTTAAGATCCAATGCAAACTGAACCGCCTCATCATCAGCATTTACTTCTTGGATCTGCCTTAATTTATTTTCCTTGAACTTTAGGTAACATCAGTGACGACTCTTTTTGCTCTTCATTACTTAGGCAATAATCTTGTGCTGACTAAATTTGTGTTCTTCTTTTCACCCAGAGTCCTGGTTTTCTGTGACGCCAGAGAACATCGCCAAGCACATAGCGGATCGCTGCAAGGCCAACGTTGTGATCGACGGGTTTTGTGGCGCTGGTGGCAACACCATCCAGTTTGCCAGAGTGTGCAGCCGTGGTGAGTCGAGTGTTGCTATTGTCGAGCCTTTCTACAGTATATTGCAAGAAAGTTCGCGTCGTAATGTGTACTTTTTAAGCAAAGCTACCAAGTGGCAGGCTTATGGGGCGTAAGCATCGTTTGCAAACAATCCAGCTCCAGGGGGTGTACAGAGATGAGTGCAAACAAGTGTTCTCATCAAAGGTGTGGTGGTCACATATGCCATTTTTCAATTATCAATGCTTTCTTGATTGCTTGTTGGCATTCTGCCGTTTCCGATGTGTTAATCTCACCTTTAATCAAGAACACTTGTCATTTCACGTTGCAACATTTCATTGTTTGTCACAATCAATGATAGTGACCACCCAGCTCCAGAGGTACACGAATAGCACAGTGGTACAATAGCGATAGTCACAAAACAGCACGAAGTGCTTTGATACTTGTGTCGTTTGCTTTTGACTGTGGTAAAGCAGGCATCGGCTCCGTTTTCAGTAGGCCTCCAGCGGTGCCGTAATGCATGCGTTCGCAACAGCCAGCGTTGTCATGCCTTGTTGATTTGTTTGCGTGTATCCCAGAAAGAAATACATGAGTTATTTCTATGGAAATGAATGTTACGTGCATGTATCATGGTCTGAAAGATTTCCCTAGTTTTTGGTGGTACGATATTTCAGTGGATATATTTGCGCTTACCCTTGAGGTTCAAGTGTAGTGAAACTCGTAATTATGCAGAGTAACTGGAATTGTACAGAATTGTATTGAGTAGATTCTGCTGTATTCATTTGCGGTTAATCTTATGATGGCAGTGGCTCATTGCAGCGTCACTATCGATCCACCTTGCGTCTTCTCTCGCAGTCATAGCCGTGGACATCAACCCAGCTAGGGTGGAGCTGGCACGACACAATGCGGCCATCTACGGTGTGGCGGACAAGATCAAGTTCATCGTTGGCGACTTCCTGGAGGTAGCTCCACGACTGCATGGCGACGTGGTCTTCCTGAGTCTGCCCTGGGGAGGGCCCTCGTACCAGCAGAAGTGGTCTTTTGACCTCAGAGATATGGAGCCCAACTTATATCCTTTTCGCTACTGTTCTTTAAAAGAAACCCAAAACTGCTTTGACAATATTTTGTGAACCCATTTAACTAGTGGTGCAGGTCCTTTAGATCATTACAGGAACACTATAGAGACAAACGAGTTTTCTTATATTAATAAATTGCTCTTTCAGGATTCCAATGACACCACTCTTGGAGGGAGAAAATGCGCTAAAGGGAAATGCAGTTGGTGACACTATCTTAAGTATCCCTCTCTAGTCACTTGTGATTTCACAGGTTTTGATGGCACCTTTCAGGGCTTGCATAGTTCCCGGTCAACAAAAATGATATACACAGTTTTCTGGGGCAACCAGAGCTCACCATACCAAGTTTTAGGAAATCTTGTTTAGCCACCTTGGTTAAATTGAGACCCTTGACGTCACCATTGGCATTTACGACGAAAAATTTGAAAGCTAAACTTTTGACGTTGAATTTCTCATCTGTCAATCAAGATATGCAATCAGCAACACTGGAGCTATATACTACTAGTATAATTTATTACTTCAAGCTATTTTTTCACTTTAGTGCCCCTTTAAAGCCAATTTCCGGAGATGTCGATCGAGGTAATGGCAATTCTATAGTATTCCCAAAACTTTTCAGTCCCCTGTCTGAGCAGAGATGCTTTGCAAATTCAAAAATATAATTTAAATTAGCAACAAAGCACAAAAACAGCACTGAAAGGTAACCGAGGTGGATACTCTTTTGTTTATTGTATTTGAGTGCACAAGGCAACTGTGACATCAAGAAGTTTAACAGCCATTGGGGAGCAGGCTCCGCCAATTAGTGGCCTTCGAACCGCGCCTTTGTTTGTCAGATGGTGACTGTCATGTTGTCGACGGATTCAAGTGCGGCGCATGCGACTGTGGTGTGCTGGTTCTGTTCGGCTATATGCTTCTGTCCTTGACTACCATTACACGTTCCAGACATTCGCTCTGAGCAGAAAGATCACGGACAACATCGCAATGTTGCTCCCTAGGAACGCTGATGTTGATCAGGTAGGTGGCAATATGGAGAAGTTTCATTATTATATACTGTATTAGCAGACATTGTACTTATAAATGATTTACTTGTACAATCTAACTGTATTCACTGCTTTTTGTTCATTTAGATCTTTTTTTGTTAATAGTAACCCATTCTCCTCTGCAATGCCATTTGGCCCCGAGGGTAAAATAAATAAATCATACAGATAACGTGGACAGCGGTTTTGTCTCCATCGTGATTTTAGGCAACATTGACAGGAATACCGTTAGCTGAGTCTTTGACGATTCAGGGCAAGGGGGTAAGTAGTACAGTAATAAAAAGAATTCGCTTGCTGGTGCACTATTCTGACCTACATTTTGTGATAAAATGAAAAATCTGACATTTGTTTGCATTGGCCAAAAGTTAGACTCCCCGCGAGTCCAACTGTGTTCGATATGTCAATAATTAGTGTATAAAATGTGGGAATTTGAAATTATTGGCATGAATCTTAAATATTTTCAGATTGTCGCCCTAAATAAAAATGTGGGTGTTGAAGACCCTGAAATGAGTGCCACAGGGCTTGGGAATGAATTTAATTTATTAAGACCCCTGTATTTTCGGTATCAAGGGGGACGATATGCAGCGGTCGGTCACGGGAGGGCCACAGCTCTCAACATACTAGCAACAGCAGTCAATTGCGCGTTGTAAGCAAGTGACCACGCATGATTGGTCGTCCAAAGACTGACAGTGGTTTCTACGCTTTCGACTGTGTGCAGAATGCAGATTTCGGAAACCCAGTGAATTGTGTTGGCTTGTCATGACAATATCCACTGAGGTGGGGCCAGCTTGCAGATTCTGCACAAACAACTTTCAAATCAAAGTAAAATATTTTACGAGTGTTGCATGGTTCCAGTGTGGGGAGAGCATTAATAGTGCATCCATGGAAACGATAGCTACTCGGTGGTCTATTAAACTTGCTAATACATCCGAAGCCTCAGTCGTGTCTGTACCCCTTGAGCCGTTGTGCGCACTGCCTTATAGAATGAGGCACGTCAGTTGCAGGGTGTCGACACTAAAAGTTTTAACACATTCATTTTCGCTCTGGAGAAATGCCAGCTGTGTTCTATCTGCAACAGCTACAATGCAGTTCATGAACCGATTCAGCTCTGTAAACCCTTATTGCCTTCATTGTCTTATATAGTGCCTTAAACTCGTTCGTAAAAAAATTAAAACCTCCAGGCAGTGCCACTCAAGTGACCCGACTGGTAATTTACCGGGTCCTGTATTGTGCAGATTTCCAATTATGTGCCGTGCAAAGCACCTCGAACAGACACGAGCATTGACAGGTGCGGGAAGAAGTTGCCGTGATGGCATATTTCAACAACTGTGGTCAACCTTTTCTGCATAACTGTAAAATTTGAATTTAGCGAAAATGGCTGCTGCAAGCACGCTCGTAAGTGTGGACAACTTACAATCACTTCATTACACAGCGAGCTTATGCAGTCTGCCAACCACTTTGTTCCGAAAGAGACTGCAGGTATTAATTTGCTTCATTGCGGGTTCAGTTTGGTTCGATGTCTTGGTATGTGTGCATTTCCTATTGATGGAAATCAACTCGTCTCTTCCTCACAGGTTGTTCGGCTGGCTGGTCGTAGGAGGCTCAGTCGATATTGAAAAAAACATGCTCAACAAGAAGGTCAAGACCATCACTGCCTACTACGGGGATCTCATAAGGTCTCGGTCCATAAAGTGCACTCCGCGATCTACAAAAACCCTCATTGAGGCGCTAACTTGTTTGTACATTTGCGAAAAAAAAAAAAAGAAGTGTTTCATGTATAGGTGAGTCATCAATGGGATCCAAGATCACATGTAAATTGTCATCTTGCTTGACAAACATGTTTTGCTGGCCCACACGAGCGCACTCCACGAGTTACAGAAACCCACATGCGGCGCAAACTTGTTTGTACAGTTGCGAAAAAGTGTTCTCATGTATAGGTGACTTATCAATGAGATCCAAGATCATGTGGCAATTGTCACTTGCTTGACAAACATGCTTTGCTGGAGGTATCTTTTTTAATGTAAGGATGTAATGCATGTGCGGCATTGCATGACCGACTATGGAGCATACAGCTTAAACTACACTTGGTGTGCTAAAGATGACCTGTGTTCCTTTTGTAAGGATGATATTGGTGTACAGCAGATGTGCAGAGAGTAGTAGTGCTACATGTACATATTATTCATCTGTACATAGTTTACGAAAAAGCATAGGAGGCTATTAACAGAAGTCAATTTTTCACATTATGCCGATTAAGAAACTATACAGAACACTACCATTATGGGAAAAAGACTACACTATTCAAGTGTAGCTATTATGTATGTTATAATTTTGAGGCTTTTAAAATGGTGTTCAGTAACATAGCTACATACACAGTGCACAGTTTTATACATAAAATATGTTCATGTTGGCTTTTTTCTTTATGGCAAACTCCGTGTGTAATCAGAGGCAATGTAATATGTGTATTTTTAGCAAAGTATCTCAATTTTGAGAGGAAGGAATTTTTAAAATATATTTTTTATTCCTCTGGTTAACTGCTACTCATCAATGGTTTTAAGTTGCACACATCCTTGTTGGTGATTGTTGTACTTTTCACAAATGTACAAATATCATGATGCATACTTGTAAGACACAATGTCGCAATGTCAATAAATATTTATTCCATTGCTCATTACATAAAAATAGTGAATATTTGTATGTACAAGTTGACACCTTGATAAAACAGACATGGACATTATAGCATTATCCGATCCTGTGGAGTAACGTATTCACATAATTCTAGCATGCCTCCATTATAACATGTTAATGCAATTATAACATAGATATATAGAGGTGCATAAAATTGCTGGTCTGAATCATGCAAATATAGAAAGAAATGTCTTTCCACTACTGCAGTGCGACAAATGTTTAATAACTGATATACCAAAGCTATTTTGTGCCAGAAACTACTTTGCGAAGGTCAGCTGTGTATGCTTTATTTTTGCTGTACGCTGTTCCTCTGACACAACTGACGTGCCATCTAAGGCACTCAAAGAGCACAAATTGTCAGCAGCATTGGCAAGCAAAACGCATAATGGCATAATGTAAAACTGTACGTAGCATGTGAGCGGAGCCTCTTTGCCAGAATGCACAACTATGAAAAGTGCATCACACACAAGCGAATCAAACCTTATTTGAAAGCATGAGATATATTTAACGCGGCTGTGCTTACGCATGGCAGCTACAGTGATCACAATGAAGGAGCTATTTAAGATGCGAAGAGTGCAGACACGATAAAAGTAAAACTACGTATAAGATGGCAATAACTTCTATGGTACCTGGCTAAAGATCTAGAAAAATCAACGAAAATGCTCAATGCATAAATCATTCGTAGCACTACACCTAATTGGCGGCGGTGCTGCATATTTGGAAGTCTTTTTGAAATGCTGGATACTGCTTACGAAAATTCATTCGGTTTCTCTGAATAATTGAACTAGGCACACCCTAAGAAAATTGAAATTACGTTATGAAGTACTATTGATTATTCCCGCAAGGTTCCAGCTTTACCTCGGTTATCTAAGTGGGCTTTGAGTGGAGCGGCTAGCTGTAAAAAATGTCCTATTTGAGACGGCTCGAATTCCCCGAGACAGTATTGCCTCAACTCTCTATGAGAATGTGTGTGAAGGGGCCTGTAAGGTAGTGCCAGTGATCTACTCCAACAAATATATGCGCCTTGCCGTAGCTCAGGAAGATATCTACAGCAGTGTCTGCTATGAGCGCCCGAGCAGCCACCGCCTGCTGTGCGGGGCAACACCTACTGGCAGTTTCGGGGTCTGACATGGTGCACCGTGAGCATGTGCTGCCTAATAGTCCCGCCGACGACTGAGCCCGCAACTACTGCAAGGTGTCGCCACACAGAGCAAAAGCCAACCACTCGTGCGCTCCACACAGATGTGGACGCGACTGTACAACACCGGTCAGCATTGTGGATAGCATACTGGCAAACTCGTTGAGCAAGAATGCCATATGTGGTAGTAGTTGTGTGCTGCCAGAGGTTCATAAAAATTATGTATATAAATTAGTGCTGACACCTCCTAGATAAGTCCTCAAGAAGCAATATGAAAATCTTGCATGCTGGGAACAAAACTCCGAATGATGCTGCTTTTGGAGGAGAAAAATAGGAACAAAAAAAAAAAGCATTCACTACATGATGTGGCTGAGCTGTTATATAGGTATTCTTAGTAGTTAAACCTCAAAATGCATTGCTACTATACTTATGCAATGTTAGACGTAAATTTGATGTGGCAAAATTTTCTGCTAGATGTAATAGTTTGATGCCATGAACTTGGCACAACACACCTTGGATGTGCATACCTTGCTCCAGGTACCACATGTCCTGGTCAAACTCCGGGAAGAAGAAGCCAATCTCGCGCCTGGCCGACTCCTCAGAATCTGCAAAGCGCATCGACCGGTGAGCTGCGGTGTAAACACTGTCGAGTGCAAAATGTGCCAGACACGCGTTAAAATGGCAAAGCAGGTATTAATGAAGTTATGCTAGCTTGCCGTGAAATCGGCGATTTCGACATCTGCTTTGGTATAATTTCTTATCAATATAGATAGATGGCATTATATTCCAAAGAGGTCAAACATTGAACTTATCAGCAAAGATAGCATTGTATTCTAAAGGGGTCAAACACAGAACTTGGCAAGTTTATCATAAACACTTGCTGAGCTAGCATATCTCTAATGTGAAAAGTCTCCTTTGAGTCACCGATGTCACGCCTATGCGAAGGTGCTGGTGTATGGGTCTGATATTTTATCTATCACCTACACATTAGGAAGAACAGAATTCTGAAACTTTACTCACTTCAACAATGGATACTGTCTATTTATAACCAATATATTCAAGTGAAGTGCCTTTGAAACTCTAGAAGTCAGGTCAACACAAGAGAGGAACCCACAATTGTGTTTATAGTATTTCTTATTTTATGAAATGAAATATACCATGGTACAGCAGCGGATAGAGGCTTTAAGTGGAGCAAAATAGTCTGGCAAGAAATATCATTGCATCCAAGATATCGAAATGAGGACTAAACTCGTCAAGGCAGCAACTGCCCTGACAGAAATATATTTATGATCTGCAATAAATTTCCCATTTGCACTATCAGTAAGAATGACACTTAAGAGACTTTTTTCTTGTAACTCTCAACTCCCATGTTGGGTGCAAGTTTTGCGGTAGAGAGCAACTTATTTCACACAAAACGTCCATATTATAACACTGACCCGATCCGTGACCAGCGTTGCGCGTGTCTGTCAGGCCAAACCGTGCTCGAATGGAATTGGGGGCATCGTGAATAGCCCTGTAAGAATAAGACCACAGCAAACAAGTACAATTTTTCAGAGAATGTCTATTTGAAATTCGTAGCACCGAGCACTGGCAATGTTTTGTTTGTATTCTTGCATTTACTTTCCTTGTTTCTTCGAAATGTCAGTGACAAAGTTGAAAGCTTTATCAATGTGTGCACACTGAATAGGACGGCAGCACTTTAACGTACGAACACTTCACAACACAAGAATGTGGTCACATTTCAAGAGTATGCTTGCTTCAAGGTCCTCTAGAGAGTACAGCACATTACAGTTGCTAGGGGTGGCACAATGTGGTCCAGTGAAGCCAACAATAAACTTAAGTGGCTGTCACTAAAAGGCCATGAGTAATGATGTTTATATTATTTGGTCAATATTTGGTGGAGTGTTTAAGATGAAATAAATACAAAGTGCCAAGGTTTACCTGTATGAACATGCCATGCACCACTATATGGATGCTCACAGTGCGACTATGGACATCCTGTTGTAGTTTCAGCCAGATCTAGAGGTTAAAAGCTGAACGGCTGTCATAGCTTATCAAATCAAGTAAATGATTTCTCATTGATCAGTGAAAAAACTACATAAAAGGCTATGAAATAAAAGCGAGCATTACACAGTAAGAAGTTACTGACTCATCACAAAACAGTCAAGACAGGTTACTGATTACACATCGCAAACAATCCCAAAAGCAACCCTCCCTTACCTAAACACTTGTGTTGGTCCCAGAAGCGCACGCCACTCCTTGATGCCATTCTCCTTTGCCAATATGTGGACTGACAATGGTCCGCTAATAAAATGAACGGGACGTCAAAAGTGTTCAGTGAGTAAACAGAATGACTTTGATACAATACAGAACAGTGAAACGAGCTGTATACCTACCTGGACATAAAGCTTGCTAGTCTCTCGAAAAAGAATTTTCCTGAAGGAGAAACAAAACGATTTGAACAGATTACTCATTTTCTGGTATGGTTGCTCGCTTCGGACAAAGAAAATAATTTCCAAGTTAACAAAAAGAAAAAGGAAAGCTAGCAATAATCATTGAAAGGTTTGTCAAAAGCAAAGAATCTAAGTGCAGCACATTTGAAGTTTTCAAAAGCATGCTGAGTATGAACAGTGTAATGCAGACAAGCAATCGCACAGTCTTATATTACATGACATTACACTATATATGATATTAAAGGAATTGTTGGCACAGAACTTAGTTCTACAGCATTTGATTCACTGTTTCATCCACTGCACTGGCTTAGCGTCGTCGTTTAAAATGTGTCGCGACAGCGACACATTTTAATGAGGATGAAGTGCAAGATAACACCGGCATGCTTCAGTTTAGATGCAGGTTAAAAAAAGCCCAGGTGGTTGAAATGAATTGATCCAGTCTTCCACTACACTGCGCCTAGTAATCATGATGATGTGTTTGTTGCACGTGAAAATATGAAACTTGTTAACTGTGAAGCACTGCTTCACGTCAATCATTTTATGGATGGGTTTCAGTGCCGTCATGTTGGATTGTGGTGGATGCATACTTTAAAAAGTCCGAGTTGGCGCATTTGACATTTTACGACTATTAATTCACGCTGCGATATACGAAAATTTGAAAACTTTTGTTTACCAGCTCAAGGTGCTGGTGCCCATGAGTCTAGTCGTCTGCAGATCAAAATTATTAAGGCATTCGATATGTGTAATCTTGCTAACTGCCACCAATCACTGAACAATTGCGTGCTAAACTGTCGAAGTCATTGTTGTCAGGGGTAATCTTTTTTTATTGCGTCATCATGACTGACACTGCGTTGAGACTTGAGAACACTGCTTTTGCGTGCAATTCTGTGCCCGCCAAGTGCCCCTTCGAAGACGTGCGCAGCGGCACGGTTTCGGACTGCGCAATGTGACAATCGTATCACGTCGCCACCGCAAAGTCTGAAGTCTACACGTGCACTTAGCCCGGTTCCATTAGCCGCGCAACCGGACACGCCACTCAAGGGAGTGTTGACACTCCGCAAGTGTGTGCGAAAGGGGGAGCTGGGGGGCGGTGACTCCAATTGTTGCAGAAAAGCCCCGCGCGCGCTTGTAGTCCCGAAAGTGTAGCGCGTGGGTCATCTTCTTGGCACTGCGCGGTCTCTTATCTCCGCGGCAGCTCGGATTAGAAAGAGCGCTTCCCCTAATAGAGGTGTGCAAACATTTGGCCGTGCGCGAAGAGCACGTGCAACTCCGGTTTGGCTGAAACCTCGTCTCGCGTACTACGAACGGAAGCCGTGTGTCCGTAGAGATAACGCTCTCGGCCAGGCCACGCAAGGAGCCATCTTCGAGATAAGGCATTTTACTCTTTCTTTAGGTAAATAAAAAGTAGAGAAGCGGACTCCCAACGGAATGCGACGCAATTACACGATTTGCGCGTCGGCGATAGTCGTCTCAGCGTTTTTCGTACCAGCGTGACATCGTTTTCGGCGCCAAAGATGCTTTTACTTTTGAAATCGTGTATATCGAGCAGACGACACTTTTGCGTGGTCTTGAAACTGACCGCCACAAGACGTCTTAAAGGCGTGTTCTCGTAAGCATCTCGGCAGTAGGTCAAAATCTGGCAGAGTAAAAAGCACTGCGCCGTTCGAGAGAAATACACTATTTTGAAGGTTTTCCCGCACTTTCACGCGAGCCGCGATACGACGATCGCCAAGAGCGTCTTTGAATAATCTTCGTTGAACATGACGGATCGATGAGGCGAAATTCGGAACAATGGGTGCAACAGCTGCTTCGCAACGCGTCGACACGATCCGGCTGGCGATCGTGTGCTTTCAAACGGAAAAGTACGATGCGAACATTCACGGCAAACGTGCGCGCAATCATGGGCGGGCGGCGACATGCCAACGTACCCTGATGCTCGGCGTAGAACTTTTCCATCTGTTCCCTCGAGTAAGTTCCCATCTTGCTCTTGACGAATATGAAATCGTTCTCCAAGATCACCTGCCGAACGGCCTGCGTGAAATTAGGCCAGATGAAAACATCACGCTTCGCAAAGAAGAAATATCGCTTCTCCACTGAAATGAATGCTCGAAAAATTGTTTACAGCGGGCGGCAGTGCAGTTTTGAGCAACGCGAAACAACCAAGACAATATTTGAAAATGGCAATACAAAAAAGGGGCGCGACCTTAATCAATGCGTGACTTTCACGCTCTTACTTTTTTTCCATTGCGCCATTCTCGCCGAAAAGCGTTAGCGATCGACGGCGAGTCGGCCGTCAAATGCGCTAATTGCTCGCCTCAAGGGCATTTCCTTCTATAGGGTCTAGGCCGAACCGGTTAAAAGCGGATCGCGAGAAAATTCGCTCGGGTCTCACCTCGAGTTTCACGGGGATCTTGCAAACGTCGGGCTTGAGGATCGCCAGAGTCAGCTGGAGCTTTCGCGTGATGCACATGTTTCTGTTGATGTGACGAGTGGCGACTCCCTCTCTCGACTTCGCCGGCAGCTCTTGCGGATGAGGGAGAGAGAGAGCGTGCGCACGTGGTCAAACGATCGTTGCACGTGCGCGACTGCGTGCGCGTAGCCACGCGAATGGCCACCCTGGCGACCCTCTTGACGTGCAAGCTGTCACGAATGCAAATTCGTTCGCTTCCGTCCCTTCTAAGAACGACATCCGCCTCCGCCGTATGCACGAGCGACAGTTTTTAATGCTGCACAAGTTCTCCTTGGGTTGTTAAGGCATTTCAAGGAGCCCGTTGGCTGAGTTCCAAGCCTAAGCTAGGTAGCCCATCTTTGAGTACATTTGTTGAAGGTTTTAGTTGTTAATCTCAAAGCTTTCGCTTTTTTTTTTTTGTAAATAAAAACTGTAGAGTCGTCATGACATTTTTTTCTCAAATAACTGTCAATTTAGTTAACGTTAGGATGCCAAAGTTTGATTGTGTTAGTTTTTAGCATGCTTTCTATTCTTTTTGCTCTAAACATTAAAAAAGGTTGCGCGTCACTTCTGGCATCTAGCGGAAACTCTGCCGATTTGAGGTGACGAGCAGGGCTGAGGCTCTCATTAACGCGGAGAAATGGCGTCGTTCGAAAGCATCTTTACGAGCGACGGCGCCGGGCAATTGTGGAACACTTGCGCCTGGGACGTCGTGTCGGCCTCGGTGCTGGCACAGTACAAGGGAGGCACGAGCAGTCCGCGCACCTTGTGTCTCTTGGGCTCGGACTACGTCATCAGCGCGCAGCAAGACAAGCCGCTGCTGCGGGTATGGTCGCTTCAGCGTCGGGATCAGATTCAGAAGCAAATCGTGTGCCCCGGCAGGGTATCGGCGTTGGCGGCGTCTCCCGACGGCCTGCACTGTGTGGCCGGCATCGAAGACAAGATATACCTGTGGCAGGTGAGGTCCCTCGGTCATGCTGTTGCGTGCGCGCAACCAGGGGCGCGCTCGTGTTGGTTTGTCATTGATTTTTCCCACGGGCCGATGGCTTCACCGCTGGCGTTTTCGGTATTTAGTGCCGCACACTGGCGGTATGCGAGAGAGTTGCCACTCGTCACATGGCTATAAATGTGATGCCATTCATTTTTCTTGTCGGAGACTCTTACTACAAGTGAGGGAGAGGCGCCGACTTCGTCTCCCGAATAAAAACTGCAGAGACGCCCTGCGCGTCTTTCTCTGAAGATGAGAAGAGTATTCGCATTAAATAGAATGGGCGTGCAGACACAGATGCAAGAGCTTGATTAAGACATGACAAAGGGCGATAGTACGGCGTTTGTGATGTCCTGGCTTCTCTCTTGTCCGTATTTGCACGGCCTGTTTCTTCAACATGAACACTTACAAACTAGCCCAGCTAACTGCTATTCCAAGCTTAAGAAGGGGAAGTGTTGAGTAGCTCGTTTCTTTGTTAGATGCAACCAATCGGCATCAACAGACAAGCCAAAGAAGGCACTGTAGACGTTGTCCGTTTTATTTAAGCGTACGGTAATTGCGACCCCGTAAAAAGGAATTAAAGTGCTCGGAAAAGCACCATTTGCCTCCTCGAGATCCGATACCAAAATTTTTGAACTTTTTGCGCTCATTAATTCTTTTCAGTTTGGGTCATAATCTATGCACGAAAGTTAAAAATAATATATGCCCCCTAAGCATAGGCGTATCAGATGGCGGGGGGGGGGGGCAAGGGAGGCAAGATGGGAAAGCAAGTTGGAGAAAGAGCTGAGCCCCCCCCCCCCCCCCAACGCACTTTTGACAGCGCTCACTGTCAGCTGCGTTATCGGAAAACAAACAACTAAGGCGAAGTTTTCCTTCACCACAGTAATCACTCAATTATATTGCTACAAGAAAAGGAAAATGTTACCAAGGAACGTTTTAATATAGTCAACTTTTTCTTAATTACTGCTGTGACGATTGTCCTTGAATGTTCCTTGTGTGAGCCGCCTATGCGACTCTTTCGCACCTTGTACTGGAGCATTGCAAAGCGGGCTACAGTACAAGGCGCAAAAGCGTCTTGTACTTGCTTTGTTATGAATGGGAACGCACAATCGTTTTATGGACCAGTCAGAGCATTTGCTTCTTCAAAGAAATCGTTATTTTTGACCAAAAATGAATAGTGTCACCGCTCCTTTTTCGAAGCTGCTGTGAGCCAATGATTGTGACGAATATTTTTAAATGCTTTAGTTCTGCTGTACAAAAAGCACCACAAAAAGGTTTGCACTTTTGTCTCTGATAAATCTGATCAGCCTTGCTTACGGTAATTTGTAGCAATGGCAGCAGTTTGCAAAATGGCAAAGAATAAAGTAGTGCACTAGAGTACTAGTGCACTGCAAGCTCAGCTTCTAAGCTTACCCCGCAGCTTGACCCACCGGACCAGGGAGAAGTGAAAGACTGTGGTTTTTTGCACGATTAATGTCTAATTAGGAGTCAGGCTAGTTAGTTTTCATTCAACTTGAATTGTATTTTGCAGCTCAAAATGCAATTCTGACATAAAAGAAGCACACACGTGCAGTGCTGCTTAGTTCTCTCTCAGCAAGGATGAGCTCACAGCAGTGTACACGCACACACTACCTCTAGAAAGTTTTCCGGAGTAACTGCGCAGTTACCATGAAAAGGGCTCTTTGCTACTTCAAAAGACGAAATGTACACAAAAGATTGCACACAGCACCACAAGGAGGTGCACTCTCTTTTTGTGGAGTAAAGCACCCGTTCTTTGGAGTAACTGCAGGAATGTTCGCGCCGTGTGCAAATGACTAATCGGTGCCTACACAAGCCTGTTTCATTTCAGATGGTTCTGTAGTGTGGTGTGGTGTAATGGTTAGTGTATGTGCAAGCTGACTGAATGGTCGTGACTTCATTGATTGATATGTGGGGTTTAACGTCTCAAAACCACCATATGACTATGAGAGGCGTCGTAGTGGAAGGCTCTGAAAATTTTGACCACCTAGGGTTCTTTAATGTGCATGATTATATATATATATATATATATATATATATATAATCACGTGACGACTGAAGTAGGTTTGTCGCTCCCCCCACTCGCAAAAGAGTTGGTACGCCACTGCCCCTACGCTCAATTGTCTGTTGGTTTCATGGAGGCAGAAAAGAATTATAGGTGGAGAAAATTAGGGGTGGATAATAGGAGCAGGCTTAACACTGACTTACCTTAATTCGGTTAAGGCAGCATTATAAGATGCCCCTTTTTTTCACATATGCAAATTAAGTGAAAGTGAGCATGCAAAGTACAATACATAGCTGTGTCTTCTAGCCAGAAAGTGGTTGCTGCAGAAGTACAGAACACTTTGAATGCTAGGGTGCACAAGGAATCTAGGAAAAGTGGGGACTTGTTTGCGTCACCCGGCTGCAAGCATACCCCGCAGTTCAGAAATCCCTCAGCAGTCGCCACTTGCCATGTCTGCTTTAACGCCAACTCCGGTGATTTTTCGAGGTCAGTGGATCCCAATGAAGTTCACTGGGTACTGTTATGCCAGCGAGTCCTCGTCAAACGACCGTGCCTCTGAAAAAGGCAATCTGGGTCAAGGCCAGCCCGCAGTCGGCCTGGCGCGATCACCTCGACGGCGTGAACACGCGCGGCGCCTCTCTCGCCCACGTGCATTGAGTCAGCGGCGCACGTGACAGCGAGCCGGCGTTCTCGTGCCTGGTGGTCTGACGCATGGCGCGGCGGCCCCATTGGCGGAACCTGCCCTGACGACCAGTGGCGCTTCTGATTGGACATTTTGGTTGGACCCGGTGTAAATAAAAGAAGCCCTGCGGCGCGTCGCGATCGGCAGTCCTACGAGAGAGGTGTCCCCATGTCGGAGGGCCGACATGTGTGTGAGTCAGCGGTCTTAGGCGAAAGGCTGACCTATGTGTTAGAGAGGAGAGCTCGGCTCTTCGAGTCTCTGTCGGCCCCAGTGCCGAAATTGTAACGCCTCTGTATATATGCTGTACATAAACCTTGTTTAACTCACCGTCGTCTCGTCCGCTCGTCTTATCAGCTCTGCGCAGAAGCAGTCGCGAGCTGATAAACATACGCTACCAAACGGCTGGTGACCTTCCCGGCGGAGTTGAAAGCAGTGGCGCCTTCGGGGCCGTGTTGGCGTCGCCGTCTTTCTCAACAGTGGTGGCTTCGGCGGGATCGGTCCGTCGTTCGCAACAGTGGTTGGCAGCTGCGGGATCGGCCGGCGTCAGCGACATCGATGCGGTGAGTGCCTGATGTTTTCCCCTCAGTTCACCAGACTGCTCTAGCTCAGGTTGTAGTAGTTTAGAGAAGGGCTGTGTGAAGCATTAGAGTGAGCTTTGATCGTTTCAAGCAAAGTCGAAGTGCTTTGAAACCAAAGTTAATGCGGAGGGGGTAAACACGGGAGAGTGAAAAATTGCTTGCGCGTCTTGCTAGTTGACTTATAGTGGGTACGGCAAGTAAATTGTTAACAGGGGCAAACAGAAAGAGGCTAGTGTGAACGATGGAGAACCTTAAAGTGAAGGAACTCATCGAAATTTGTGAGGAACTCGGCATTACTTTGGGCCGTGTGAAACGAAAGCAAGCGATCCTTGAGATCATGAAGGATGAGGGAGTGTCGGCTGAGGAAGTCGATGAGGCCTGGGTGGATATTAAAGCACGCCGTGAGGAGGCTGAAAGGCGAGAAGTAGAAGCTCGCGAAGAAGCTGAAAGGCGCGAAGCTCGCGAACGTGAAGAAGCTGAAAGGCGCGAAGCTCGCGAAGAAGCTGAAAGGCGCGAAGCTCGCGAACGTGAACAAGCTGAAAGGCGCGAAGCTCGCGAAGAGGCTGAAAGGCGCGAAGCTCGCGAACGTGAAGAAGCTGAAAGGCGCGAACGTCGCGAGGAGGCCGAGAGACAGGAGCGCCTTGAGATGAAACGACTAGAATTGGCAATCCTACAGTGTTCGCAGGCGCCTAGCGCAGCTTCTCCGGCGATTCAGGTCAGCGGTATTAGAATTCGGGATCAACTGCCACCGTTCGTAGTAGGCGAGGACATGGCGAAGTATCTCGTCAAGTTTGAACACGTCTGTGAGCGAAATGCTTTGGAGCAGTCTCTTTGGGCGCGGAACCTGCTAGCTCTTCTTCCCGGCGAAGTGTCCGACGCATTAACTTGCTTGTCTAGGGAAGCGTTTGAGAGCTATGACGAGGTTAAGGAAGTGCTCTTGAGACGTTACAAGTTGTCACCCGAGGCTTTCAGGCAAAGGTTCCGGTATGCTGAAAAGGGGAATGAGTCACACGTTGACTTCGCGTTTCGTCTTAAGGCCGATTTAATTGAATGGCTCAAGGGCGAAGGTGTTTATGACGACCGCGATAAAGTGGTGGAATGCGTTGCATTGGAGCAATTCTACCGCTGCATCGAGGATAATGTCAGACTTTGGCTGCAGGACAGACTTGGGGAAGTACAGTTAAATAAGGCAGCTGAGTTAGCTGAGGAGTATTATACTCGCCGAAAGTTGCATAGCAGGGCAGTGCGCGTTGAAAAGGATGAAAGGAAAGAGGGCTTTTCAAGGAAACCTGATCAACGGAAACCCGTTCCGCACCGTAATTTCAAAAGGACCCGTCTCTTACGAAGGACAGTGTAGGGGAAGGGCAAACAGAAGCGGAGAGATCGAGTGAGGTTTCTACCACACAGGCATTTGAATCGGAAAACAAACGGAAGCCGCTAATCTGCTACAACTGTAAAAAGGAAGGGCACATCGCGAGAAACTGTCAGGAAAAATTTGCCTTCGCAACGATCCGAGAATCAGAAAAAAACATTCGGTTGTTGGAGCCGTATCTCCAAGAAATTAGGGTCAATGAGAAAACGTGCCGAGCACTTAGAGACTCAGCGGCAACCATGGACGTTGTCCATCCTTCATTGGTGTCTCCGGATGACTTCACAGGAGAATGCGCGTGGATTAGGCAAGTCGCCG